AGGGGATCCTGGAGTCTGTGTCGACTTTCGTGTTTCCCCTTGTGCCCTTTATGGCAGTCGGAGGCCTGGATGGTGCCCGTACATAGACGCGCAAGCAACTCGTTGATATCTAAGCAAAGTATACTTAGGCACCTGTGGGGCGTGGCGGCGAACACGGAATCCCAGAAAAGCTGGAACATCTGGGGCATCCTGGAGTTTGTGCCGCTTTCCGCGTCATCCGTCACACGTTTCGTGGCCCCTCGGGAGCTCCACCGAAGGCCCCAGTGGCAGCGTTCGCATACTTGCCCCTGACAATTTCGGCACACCCCTTACACGTATTGTAGCAGCATAGGAAGCTCCACCGAAAGCCCCAGTGCCAGCGTTCGCATACCACCCCCGACCATTTCGGTACACCTGTCACACGTTTCGTGGCCCCGTCGGAGCTCCACCGAAGGCCCTGGCGCCAGCGTTCGAATACCTGCCCCTGAAAATGTCGGCACACCCCTCACACGTTTCGTGCCCCCTAGGAAGCTCCACCGAAGGCCCCAGTGGCAGCGTTCGCATACCGCTCCCCGACCATGTCGGCACGCCCTTCACACTTTTCGTGGCCCCTAGGGAGTTCCACCGAAGGCCCTGGTGGCAGCGTTCGCAACCCGCTCCCCGACCATGTCGGCACGCCCTTCACACTTTTCGTGGCCCCTAGGGAGTTCCACCGAAGGCCCCGGTGTCAGCGTTTGCATACCGCCTCCCAACCATTTCGGCGCACCCCTCACACGTTTCGTGGCCCCCAGGGAACTCCACCGGAGGCCCCAGACACCCTCACGCGCTTCGGGGCACCATAGTAAAATCCCTGGCGAACCGTTCAGACGTACTGCAGCTCCCTCAATGTATTCTCGTGTATTGAGCGGTCCTGCTTGTCGTCGCCTCATGTTCAAAAGGGAGGTGGGTGCTTCGCCAGGCTAAGTGACCATCGAATCGGCGTAGCTGAGCTGCGGGGTTGTCTGGGCTCTGTGGGCGGCATCAAGGCCGGGAGGCGCCACGTGCGATCTGTGGTTGCCCCGTCGTGGGCCATTAACCGGCGGCGAGCCTTTGGATTCTTCATCACGCGACACTTCGTCCAAGGACTTGGCAATCATCCAGTCGGACGCCTCCGCCAACACTGGCTGTGCCAAAAAACAGGATGCCCTCGGCTTCCTGGGCCGCGCGATGCCAACTCGTCTGACTGCGTCCCCCGACGTGGCACAGTCAATTGCAGGAGACCGCCCAGGCCATTTTCAAGTCTATATTCGCCTATGGTAGTGTTCGCCATATAGGCTTTCATGCCTCTCATGTTTTTTTTCTCGTTCTCTCTCCCTCTCTCTCTCATTCTCTATTTTTCTCGTCCTGGAAACTTTTTTTTTTTTCTCTCTCTCTCTCTCTCTATGGTTCATTGCTGTTTGGTCTTTCTCTCTCTCTCTCACCCTCCTCCCATCAGCTTGTGGCCATTCGGAACCCAGTTTAGGGCAAGACGGCAGAGACTCTTCTGGCAGAGCCGCCGCTGCTGCTTCTCAGATTGCCGTCCCGCCCATCACGCCCTTTGGCTGCCCAGAACTCCGACGTCGTGATTTATCCCAACCATCTTCGCGATTTGGGCCCTCGCATCGAAGAGGCAGCGCCCCGCGTCCTCTCCTCCTCTCCTCCACCCCTCTCGTCTCCCATCCCTGCTTCTGCCCACCGCATGTCCATGTCGGCACACCCCTGACATGTTTCCTGGTGGCCCCCCAGGGGGCTCCACCGAATGCCTCCGTGGCTACGTTCGCATGGCGTCCCCGCACCTGATTTGGCACATCTCTCACATCTGTCGTGGCCCCAGGGGGAGCACCACCGAGTGCCCCAGTGGCTGTGTTCGCATGGCGTACCCGCCCTCGAACCCGCACACCCCTCACACGTTTCGTGACCCCTGAGGAAGCTGCACCGAAGGTACCAGTGGCTGCGTTCGCTTGGCGGACCCGTGCCCGAATCGGTACGCCTGTCACACGTGTCGTGTCCTTGTAGGGAGCCCCAGTGGCTGCGTTCGCATGGCGCACCCGCCCCCGACTCGGCACACCCCTCACGCGTTCCGTGTCGCCTTAGGGAGCACCACCAAAAGGCCTCAGTGGCAGCGTTCGCTTGGCGTATCCGCCCCCTATTCGGCACACCCCTTCACACAATTCGTGGCCCCCAGGAGCTCTACCGAAGGCCCCAGTGGCTGCGCTCGCATGGCGTGCCTGCCCACGGGCCGGCATACCCCTCGCATGTGTCGTGCCCCAGATGGAGGTCTAGCGAAGGCCCCAGTGGCTGCGTTCGCAAAGGCGTGCCCGCCCCCGATGCGGCACACCCGTCACTCTTTTCGTGGCCCCGTCGGAGCTCCGCCGAAAGCCCCGGTTGCTGCGCTCGCTTGGTGTACCCGCCCCCGAATCGGCGTCCCTCTCAACCCTGTCGTGGCCCCGTAGAGAGCTCCACCGGAGGCCCCCGTGGGAGGCTTTGCAGGCGGTCTCCGCCCCATGTCGGAACACACCTCGCACGCTTCGTGGCTTCATAGGGCGGGCTTCATAGGGGGGCTCCACCGAAAGCGGTACCCGCAATGTTGTATTCACAACAGCATGTTGTTGGGTCTTTCGCCAGGACAGGTCACAGCGGGGACCCCGCAGGTCTAGACCCCTTCACCGGGACCGGATGTTCATCCTGACCTGAGCAGTTTTGCGACGGCTCTGGGGCCTGGCGAGGGGCAACATATTTATCACAACTTCCAGTTGTGACTTCTCCACAACGAGAGGTGGTGGGGTGGGGGCTGGCGGCTTCTTCAACATGACCGTCCGCCTTCCCACGGCCATGCCTTCTTTGCAGCCGCATGCTCCGAGAACAAGACGCGGCCGCCCGAGAGGTCGCCGCCAAGCCGCACTTCGACGAGGGTACGGAGGCCCCAGCTTCTGCCCCTTCTGCTTGAGAGAGAGAGAGAGAGAGAGAGCGGCCCGGGACATGAGAACAAGGAACATCATAAACGCAAATGTTCGGTCCTTTCCCCGCCTCTGTTCTCCTCCTCCTTCTCGCCCTCGTCCTCGTTTTGGCTTAAGCATGTTCACAACGGTATGAGCTTTCGGATGTTCGCGCGGATTTCTGGGGTCGGCCCTGGCCCCCATCCCTGGCGCGCGGAGCGCGCCATGGTCGGCGCTGGAGGCGCCGCCAGGGGGCCCTGGCGCCGATCCAAGAGCTCCGCGAGGACCTCCGAACGTGTCTTGCCTTCACCCTTTCACCCCTCCCCCCCTGTGATCTTCGCCTCACACCCGAGGGCCCTGAGTGGCACGAGGCTCCACGTCGAGGCTGTTGCTTGCTGCAGGAGGCCCCGCGAGCGTTGTCTGGCCTTGTCCTTCTCCTTGTCCAACGCCTCCGCCTTCTCTCTCGCCATCCTCCCTGGGCCCTCCTCTTGACCAGCCACCTCCACCTCCTCTTGCTGCCCGTGGCCACATCGCCTGGACACTTTCGCTGTCCCTTGCTGTCGGCGGTGAACACAGGGTGTACCCGCGGAGCCTCCCACTGCTGCCCTGTGCAGAGTTGTGGTTGCGAGCTGTACTCGTGGGAGCCTGCTATCGCTGCCGGTTGGGTGGAGGGGTGGGCATCTCTGTCTACCCCTCTGCCGTCCGCACCCGATATTTGGGCATGTCGTTCCCAGAGATCCGATGTGTCAATTTTAGACGCTTCGTGTATCCCACCAGCCCATCCAGAAACGATGCCTTGGCGAGTTGCCCTGGCCTGGGATGTGCAGGAGCATGCAGTATAATAATAAGGGGTCGGGGAAGCCGTCATACCTCAAGAGGGAGAGGACTGATCCCTGGTGTGCGCCAACGATCCCTTTGATTCATTGTTTGGCAAGGACGGTGGGCCTGCGCCCAGCAGGCAGTATGTTGTCCCCCCCCCCCCCGCAACAGGGATTAACTCTTCCCCGAAGGGGAAGGAAGGAGGGTTTGGAAGAGGAAAAGCCCTAAACCACTCACGCCCTAAAGGACTGGTAGGATTTGTTCAACACGCGGTCGGCTCGTTTTTAGCCCGAGTAGTTTTGACGGTCCTAGGGCTTGGCGAGGACCCCTGGAGGCAGAAAATTGTGGCAAGCTTCGAAACCTGATGTTTCAAGACTTTGGACCTTGGAGTCGCTGGCTTCTGGTTCCCTCTGCGCTGTGCTATCGCCGTCTCCGCCGCACCCCCTCAGCCCGGCGCTTCTCGTCGTCCTCCTCGCTCTCCTCGCTGGCGCTTGGCTCCTCGGAGGAGCCCGAGGAATCCTGCTGCGCGAGAGCCGAGAGAGCCGCACGGGCGGCCGATCGGGGCGCGCTTGGGAACGTTCAAGAACATGATGGGTGATGGGCCTTTTTGTTTCGAGAGTTCCAGGTCGGCTAAGATGGGCCACGCGCAAAGGAGGTCGGGGGAGGAGGGAAGGCTTCTCAGCAGCAGCCCTGCTTCTTGGCAGGCGCGGGCCTTCCCTCCACAGACACAGGGCCGGCGCCGCCTTCCAAGAAGCAGGGGTGCTTCTGAGAACCTCCCCCCCTATCCCTACCCCTCCTCTGCGCGCCGCCCAGGACACGCGTCCGCGGACAGAGAGAACCAATCGGCGCCATGGGGAGGGCAGGGGATGGGACGGAGGGATAGGATGCCACACGTGGCGCGAGCGCACCCAGCTCGTCGCACCCCCCCCCCCCTCCTCCTCCTCCTCCTCCTCCTCCTCCTCCTCCTCCTCCTCCTCCTCCGCCTCCTCCTCCTCGCTCCTCCCCCTCCCCTCCCCTCCTCCTCCTCTCCTCCCCCTCCTCCTCCTCCTCCTCCTCCACCTCCTCCTCCTCCCCCTCCTCCTCCTCCTCCTCCTCCTCCTCCCCCTCCTCCTCCGCCTCCCCCTCCTCCTCCGCCTCCCCCTCCTCCCCTGGGGCGCTCGACTCCTCGGAGGAGCCCGCGGAGCCCTGCGCAGACCCTCGCCCCGGGGAGCGCCGCCCAGGTGCAGACCGCGGAGGAGAAGGGCTGGG